AATTCAATTTTGAATGACGGTGTTTGATGTAAGAAGAAAGCTTAAGACTGAAACTTCTGCAGAGGGTCTGCCCGAGCCTGGGGAGGGGTGTGAACTCTTCCTTGCTCTCAGTGAGTTGTCAGTTCAGAGAAGTGATTTAAATATATTACTGATTATTCTTTGCCACGTGGAGTTGCAGGGATAATGTATCTGCATAATTTTCTGAGTCTTAAATTCCTTGTGTTACTAAAATGTAGCCAGCTCCTAAAAGATAGACCTTGACTGAAGTTTGTTTCAACTTGGTATCGACCTCAGATACCTACCTGGGAGAACGGGCACCGTAACAGAAAATAAATCTCTTGGGCAAGTTACCCGTCCTACACGTTGCTGAATTTTAGATTAATACCAAATGCTTGGATCGGGGTGCAGGCAGCGTTGTGGTCGATGTGACAAGCTTTTACTGCTGCATATGGCGTAGGGGATGCATAAGGGAGCTCTGAAAATACTAGGATGCTTCTAGTCAATGAGGTTATGCTTCCGTGGACGTGGCTATATCTTTCTACCTTTTATTTTTTTTAATTAAAGGATGGTTGTAGAGATGGTTGTAGATTAAGGAACAACGAGGGACTTGGAGAGAAAAGTGAATATGGAGGAAACATAGTTTTGCTCGATTTAGAAGAAATGAATACTGTCAGGTTGTAAAGTTTTAGAGAAATACCGATTCGGGGGTTTTATTCACTTGCAGTGCACAAGAGCAGAAAAGCCGTTGAATAGCATTTTCAAGAGAGCTCGTTGCTATGAGGTGTATTTGAAATCAAGATTTTAGCAGGTTTGCAGTGAAACTTATTTTTTATAATGGAAAAGGGGAGATGAAAAGGTCACGTCAGGAACAAGTGTTTCTTTAGCTGTCTGGTGCTGTTGAAGAACTTCTGTAGGCTGTTTTATTGAGTATTTCTCCATTGTGAGGTTCCTGCTGTCTCTAGTTTGTGTTCCCATCCCCATCTGTAGGCCATATTTCGTCAAAAGTGTAAATATATATTGAATTTGTGTCTATTCAGCAATGCTTGTAAATGTGCACTTAGTGCATCTAAGACTTACTGAACGTGGTCAGACTTGCAGACGTGTCCCTGTTACACGAGGATGGAGCACCGAGTTAGAGGCAGAGCATCATGGCAAGCGGAGCGGTAGCCTAGCCTGGGATGGCAACTCCGACTTCCTATTACCAGACCAGGTATTTTAGTTGTGAAAACCAGACTAGCTTACTTGGCTTGCCACATCTTACTAAGCAACGTAGCTCCTGACATAAACTAGTTCTTCATGGGGGTCTCTTTAATTCGATGTTCAGGAAGGACCCTGGGATGATGAGCTCCTGCAGTCGGTGGGTTGGCTGTGGTGCTTCTTGCAGGAGCCCTGTGCTGTACAGGAACTCAGTTTGTAGAAAACAATGCTATTCCAAAGTATTTATGAATTTATTTTAGTGCTGCCAAAAAAGGGAGCAGGAGGATGGAGATGATCTTTCCCCAAAGAAGCTTGTCCCAGCAGCTCAGGACAGCCTTGCCCGCAGTGTCTCAGACCTGTCGGAGGCTGGAGAGGGACGTAGTCTCTCTTCCCATTCAGTCCTTGGCCTCTGCTGATTCTTGTCAGCCAGCAAGCCGTGTGATGCCAGTTGCCCTAAGAGGTTTTGTCGTATGGATGCGTGTCCATTAGGCACCGAATTGTGACACTCCGCAATGCCGCTCGGCCGGCTGAGCGGTGGCAGCACTGATGGTCGGGGCTGGAGCTGGAAGCTGTAGGACCTTGCTCTGCCCTGCGCCGTGTGCAGTCATTTATGGCAGGGCAGAGTGGGTGCGTAATCCTGTTAAAACAAAACCATACCCCTGACGACTGCTGTCAAGTTCTCCGGTTCTGTGCAACTTCAGGGACTATGAAATTTCATATCTTTGTTTTGTCAAATCTCTAGTCATACAGATTTGGAAGTCTGGTGCCTGTTTATAGGGGATTGATGGCACTTCCACAGTCAATCAGATTGCATTTTGCACACTTAATAAGAGTGTGTGTGTGGGAAGACTGTATGTGGGATTTTAATTTTAGCCTCATAGATTTTTCATAAAGTCCATGATGCTTTCTGGAGTAATGCAGTTATTCTTTCCCCTAGGGCAGTGCTCTAATTTACCTTGTTTTGGTTGCCTTCATGGCAGGCAGAGCAATTCTTGCCCTCTGCTTATTCAGTTTATCTAATAGTCAGCCACTGAAGTTATTTGACTGCTCTGGTGGGAGTGCACAGTATTTAAATCAACAAATATTGAAGGCTTCATTCGGCCAGGTGCCTAGTGCTGAGCACTAGAAACCTCCATCTGTGGTTAGGGAGCTCATTTTTTGTTTTCTTCTGGCACTGACTTTGCTGAAATAATTCTTTTAGCGGCCACAGCATGGTCTTTTATAGACACCAAATGCAGAAAGAGAAACAAGTATTGAAAGAATAAGGACATAGCTGTTGCCTCCCTCTGCCCAAGACTTTTCAAATAGTTAAACAACAGTGAAAAAACTAGCACTTTATCTTTTCCCAGTCAGAGTCGTTGCTATCCAAAACAAACCCTTGTGCTTTCAGAGCTTTCAGTACACAGAAGGTGGTCTGGGTGCCGTGAGAGGGCAGCAGATGGAGGTGATGACTTCGAGTTGTGCTTGGAGAGCCGCTCTACTGCCTACCGGAGGTGGGGCTTCTGCCTCTGCCCCCCTGCACGTGCTCCAGCGAGCACCGGGGTGCTCTTTGTGGAGGTTTTGGAGCTCATTTTGGAGGCTCTGAGCTGGCAGAGCCCATGTGGGAGGCAGTTGCAGGCTGAGCTGCCTGGGTTTGGGGGGAATGGACTGCTTAGTGCAGGTGTCTCATCAGGAAAAACGGCCAGAGTTGAACCCCAGGGAAGAGTTACCACTTGTCACCAGGTTTTGAAGACACTTTCCAGTAAGATGTTTAGTGCCCAATATCTGTGGCTTTCACTTTGGAACACGGGGCAGGACTAGGACTGTCCCCCTTGTAATTTACGGGTAGGACTAGGCTGGAGCAGGTCGAGCACTGCAGCAGTTCTTTGAGACCCACCTGGACAGAGCCCGATCAACCTTGTTTGAATTCAGCGTTGACCATGCTTCGAGCCGGAGGTTGGATTGGATGCTCTAAGTGTATTCACCAGTTCTAAGAGGGCTGTCAGTTTGATGCAGGAAATGTTTGTCTTTAAATCCCAGATGAGCACCAAAACCCAGGAATTTTGGGGAGTAATATGGTTGTTGCAGGTACTAGAATGCATTGGTTTTAGAGACTAGATCTGCAAATGCTGTTTGTGCAGAAATTGATATCAAATAGATCTTTTAGGTCAACCCAATGGTAAGGAGATGAACTGAATTAATACATTAAAAAGGGGGTGGAAAGAAGGGGGTGGGTAGGCCCTCAAATAGTTGGGGGGAGATTTTTTTCCCAGTTGCCACAAACTGGAAAGGGAATTTGGTGCTTTCTGGGAAGAGCTGTTCCGGTGAGCTGTGCAGCGCTGCTCATCCAGGCTCATGCAGCCCTGCTGGTGTTGGCACTGAGCTGCGAGTGCTCAAGGGCACGCAGCAAAGCCCTGCAGAGCTCGGCTTTGAACCATGAGCCCAGGTGTGTTGGACTTGACAGCTTGGGATGCAGGATCTTGCTTTAGCCTTGCATGAGGTTTTTGCCAGGTCAGCAGAGACATTCAGAATATTGTTTTCCTTGAGTGTTTGGGCTTCAAGAGCAGCGTGAAGTGAGATACTGATATCCAGCGTGCTGGTCTGGCTTGCAAAGTTGTCCTCTGGTTTGACTCTGGGCCCTTCTGAATACTGTAGGCAAAAATTGCTTTGATTCGAGCTGGTTGCAAATCAGTCCTACCTGCTCTGACAGCCCACTTGGACAAAGCTTTCGCTGGTGCTTCTTGTGATGCTTTTCATAACTGTCTGGCCTCTGGAAGGAAAACAATACAAGGAATCCCTAACAGCAGGTTGATTTAATCGTTTTACTGAACGTGCCAGTGAATTGTTATCACTCCTGGTTGCCTGGGGAGCTGCTAGTTTGTCATGTTGGAAACCTTTCTGCAAGTACATAGCGTTCATACTTGGATTTTTTCAGCTCAGGTCTGAAATCTCTGATGGGACAAATTCATTGATGGGGGAAGCATGGAAATGTTTGGAAGGGAAGAAAAAAAAACTTTTTACATGCACACTCCTGTTTTATCTGTGCGTGAGCTTTTAGTCAGTCTGCAAAAATCTCGCTGCATTTGAATGATGTAATTATTTTAGTCTAAAATTGCATTTAACATGCTTCACCCCTGTGTTTACTCTGGCTATTTCCTCTGAAATGACACCATGAATCCTTCTCCTGTGCTCCTTCACCCCAGTGAAAGAGCCGGTCTCCACTGGACAACATTTCCAAGAGAGCTGTGATTGCCAGGGAGTTATTCCTTGCAACGGTTTGTGTAGCAGCAGAGCCCTGATGTAGACATCTGGCTGCTGAGCTGTGTCTGTGCCACAAAAACTTACCTGTACAGCCCTACCAGCAAGCTTTTCTTGTGTCAATCTGGCATTGGGAAGGGCTTTGCCAGAGATCTGAATGAAAGATTGGGCAGCGTTTTGTTTGACATGCGAGGTGTTGACATATGGTCCAATAAATGTAGTTACTGGAAAAGCTAAAGATAATATTTACCTTGAAAAATCCATAGTTGGGAATAAATGGCCACATCTGCAGCTGAGGCAAGTGAGAATGAGTGCACTGCTTTCAACTGAGCCACCCACCCCAATTTTCACCATCTGAGGATCCAGGCAAGGCGGTCAGGTAGGTGAGTGAGCAACCTAAATGGATGGATGTGTGTGTGTATATATATATAGCAAGCAGTTTTCTGGGGGAGAGGTTTGCTCTTCATTAGCACTGTAAGTAGCTGTACCTTCTCTTTGGAGTTTTGATACCGCTTGTGACCCTTTTCTTTCTCCTCTCTTCCTCCTTATCCTCCCTCTTTCTCCAGGGTTTAATGCCATGGCTGCAGATGAAAGTGCTACAGAAAAGCAAGCGGGGGAACCAAAAATGGCAGTAGACGGTGAAACCAACGGTTCCTGTGAGCACAGTGAAGCTGGTAGCCACCCAAACCCAGCTAAAAACACTCAGGACAATACGAAAGTGAGCCAGCAGGACTCTAGTACTAAATTAAATAGGATAGCAGAAAATGGCATTTCTGAACGAGATGGCGAGACTGGGAAGCAAAACCATATGAAAGCTAATGACTTCACACAGACTTCTGTAACAGGGAGCAATGGATATATTCTAACCAAGCAGATGGCACAGGAGCAACCTCTAAGGACTACCAGCACCTTTGCTTCTCTCACCGGCCATGCTGCAAAAACCCTTCCAGGAGGAGCAAGCAAAGGGAGAACTGTGGGCTCCTTTTCTCAGATGCAAGCCACGATGCCAACCAAGCTCGGGGAGGGCAGTAAGGACATGGATGCTAAAAAAGCCACCACTGCTAACACTGAAGTCAAGGTCCACAGAGCACGGAAGACAATGCCTAAACCCACCCCTAGCCTGGTAATGTATATGCCCAGCAGTCAGTGCTGCTGCTGCTGCGATTGCTCTTGGCTTTCTTTGAGCGCGTGAGAGGGATACCTTGCTGCACGGGAACACGTGTAATTCGGAGGTGTCCCACTGAATGGATTGATTTTTATTTTTTTTTTTAATACAGATTTCCCCCCCCACCTCTTCCTACAGAGAGGCAGAGGTGTTAAAATAGAGTCACATGGCCACCATCAGCTCTCTTCCCCAAGGTGTTTCTAAATATATAATTGATCAATTACCTTCTCCAACAGATCTATGTGAGACACTAAATGGCCTTTCTCTCTTGGCTGTATTGCTCATCAGCCGTCTGCTGAAATCCAGAGCTGCTTGTGAAACAAATTAGATTTCTTATAAGTTCGACCCAAAGGAAATTAAGCATAGCATGTTAACTTGAGGCTTCTCCTAAGCTTGGAAGCTGTCAAGAAGCTGATATGTTAGGCAACTTGACTGCATTGCCGTATCATTACAGTAGTAAACCAGATGACGTTTTCTCTCCGTGTGTTGCCTGCAGTAATGCAACTTGTTCAGAAATCTTCACTCCAGAATCCTTAGGGGTGGATTTACCATCACTTAATAAAACAGAGCTCTGCCTTTTTTTTTAGGAGGCAAAAGGAGATGTGAAGCCATCTGGTGCATTCATGTTATAGTGGGGTGAACAGAAACAGGCCTGCCTTTGTCATTGGCCAAGTTTGGTTCTTTTGGTTATGTTTTTGGTTCTTTTGCCAAAGGTAAAAGAATCCAAAGGTTCCAGTATCCATAGATACTGGAACAGGCAGATCTCCACTACGAGCACTTGGTCTCCAGCCCTGTGACACTTCCTATTTAACTACAATGAGCTAGATCCCCTCATTGTGCTATGTCTAATGATGGAGAGAGACTGGCCTTTGGGTATCCTGCACCTAGGTCAAGGAAAGGATTGTGAGCCCTGCTTGGCATTGTGAGTCACACTCGGTAATAAATGGGAAGCTGCTGCAGCTTTGTAAAGGTTGGTGCAATGGATTGCTTGTTAGCTACCAGCGTATTACGGACCGGCAAATGCAAAGTGATCCTCAGATGTCACCCACATGTTGCAGCACAGCAATAATATGATGTGAAGCTCTCAAAGCTGTGAATCGCTGTGGTCTGGAGCAGGGGAAGAGAGAGGAAAAAAAAAAAAAGATGGGTGGCACCTAGCCAGCCACAGATGGGGAAAGGTGCCCTTGGCTGTGGGCCCGCCTGGGCCTCCGGAAGCAGGTGGGGAGTCCAAAGAGCACACGAAGATTAGAAACCTCATGGGCACCCAGCCTCAATGGTAGGGCAGAAACCACGCCTGCCATGATTTCCCAACCATTCTCCCAAACCGCTAATTTCCCCTCTGTCTTCCCCTGATTGCATTTGAATTCTCTCGCTCTCGCACCCCTGCTGTGTTTTCTGGCTAGCAAGTGGGGAAGCCCAGATGCAATACATGCAGCCTGATGAAAATCTCGCATAAGGCTGTCTCTTACCCAAACAAGGCTTTGCAACCGAAACTGCCTTGCAGCTTGCCTCCAGCAGCCTGTTGTGCTCTTAAATTAGGCCAGGCAAACCCCCAGACCCTTGTGGAATTTGACAGGGAGAGATCCCTTGGGGCTGAGCAATTGAAAGAGGCAATTCCCTTCTAAAAGACGACTGCTAGGTTAGGAGGGAGTGTTTTCCTCATTCATATTTTATGATACATCAAAAGAATATTTTTACGCAACCCCTTGGGCTTCAAGGTTTGTCTCTAGAAAGCTGCGTGCAACGTTTGCGAATGCTTGCAGCGCTCTGTTACATGAGTAGTTGCTGTGATGGTGCTATTGATCGTTATTTGCTCACACGGTAACAGCAGCTTCAAAAACCAAAGCCTGCAGTTGTTGGGCCGCTCTAGAAAGTTCATAGCCTGTCCTCAGCACCTCTGGCCATTTCCCTTGGGCTTAAAATAGGGAGAGCAACAAAATTCACAGGAAGGGTGGCAAGAAGAGGCCGTTCCCATGTTCTCCGCTCAAGCCTCTGTATCTGAATGTGAACCCAAGATTTGATCTCATTTCTGCAAGACAATAAAACATCTGTTTTATTCAGCCTTCCTGATAATTACTACCTAATTTCTCCCCATTGTCTTTTGAATTTACATGCTATTTTCTTTTGAGTAGCAGAGTCCTTGCTAGTTGTCATTTTTCTGTCCTGATTATTTCTTTGTTGAGCTGCTTATAAGAGGCTCATCAGCACAGCATTGCAGTAACTTTTCATGCACCAGCCTCCACGTTCACACCTTTTCCCCTTCAAAAACACCATGATAGCAGGTGCTGTATTCCAGGAAATAAATTGCGGAAATCACCCAGAAGTTGATGTTACAGGACACAGTAGTTTTCTTTGCTAATATTTTTTAGAGCATTGTTGTTTTCTTGGTAGCCTGTTGTTGCAGACCTGTGCTGCCTGAGAGAAGGAGGGGAGAAAGGTATTTTGTTGCCTGCAAAGTGTAAACATTTGTTCCCCCTGGCTCCTGCAGAAACCCACTGGGGCCAAAAAAATTATTTTCTGTAATCCAGTAGCTGTCAGGGGACCTTGGTAGCCTTTTCCTGCACATATGGATTGGTCTTTGAAAGGAAGAAAATAATTTTCTCACAAATTTAACCAGCTTTTTCTCTGTTTAGGATTTGCTTCCTGAATTGGGATCGAAGCTGAATCTGAAACAGGTGACAATTTTAATTGATGTTGTCGCATGTTAAGGTGGTTTTTGAACAAAGACCTCAGAAGAGGTGTTGACAGCATCATTTCTGCTCCCCTTCTGAATAGTGCAGTAACACAAGCATTGCACCTTTTGGAAGAATCTTTCTTTCCTTCGTAATCCATTTACAACCCTGTTAAGAACCCAAAAGTTTCCAGGGCCAGGCAACAGACTGAAAGGCAAGTGTGTGCGTGCGTGTGTGTGTGTCCTGCGCTTGGAGAAGGCCCCTCCTGCTCAGAAACTCCAGTTTCTGAGCGTAACATCACTAAGACGTGTCTGGAAGGGATAAAGGATGATAAAGGTAGTGAAAGCATTGAGAGAGGAGGAGCAGATGGCTGAGTTGGGAATCCCAAGTTACGTTTCCGTTCACTACTTGGTGACCACGAGGCTGTAGTTTGAGGTGTGTGTCGCTGGTGGTATTTTTTTATGCTGTGCAGAGGACCGGGTCAGGGGAACTGAACCGTCAGAAGAAATAGTGCAAAAATGTGTGAAATTAGTATCTCAGCCTGATTCACAGTGTGAGCCCAAGATGTAGGGTACCAGTTTAACTGGGGGAGACAAAGCCTGGGCAGGAAGGAGGAGGTTGGAGCAGGAGATGCTTTGCTTACGTTGGTGTTTCTACCAATATTCATCAAACTATACCTTTAAGCAGCGTTGCCAGTAAATATCTGATCCCAGGATCAGTAAGCTGCTTGGTTTCTGTGTGCACACAGGTGTTGCTGCTGCTGTAAAGTATTGTTTTCTGTGTCAGTGCCCAGCAGTACTGCGGCGGTGTGCTGATGTGGTCTGTGGGTTGCTCTGCAGGAGCTCCTGGCCTAAGAACGTCTTGTGTTCATCTCTCGGGGTCAGGCAGGTGGCAGTTGGTGGTTTGCAAGCGTCTGGGATTGCTCAGCAGGCTCAGACCCTCTAATATGCAGAAAACTCAAAACAAAGGGGAGGTCCTAATGGGGATGGTGGTGGGGATATTGCCTCCTTGGGGGGAAAAAAAAAATATAAAGACGTGTAGATGAGGTGCTTAGGGACATGGTTTAGTGGGCATGGTGGTGTTGGGTCGATGGTTGGACTCGATGATCTTAGAGGTCTTTTCCAACCTTAATGATTCTATAAATGAAGAGTACAGGGCATAGTGGAATAAAGCTCTTCTGATTGCAAGTGCTGCTGTCAGCTTGTCTGAACCTAGAAGGTGCACCCATCGAGGACCCTCTCCAGGGAGGCACCCAGCTGTGCACTGGCAGACTGAAAGTGTGAAGTCCATGTGTGTGAGCTTGGCCACAAGTTAAATATCCCCTGTGGGAAATCTCCTTCAGGAGTGACGAGGCTATAGAGTACCATTGGACTAATGATATAGAGGGTTCAGTGCAGAGGGAGGTAGAAAGTGAATGCATATTGTGCAGTACTTTTAATTTCGTGTTTAACTGGTTCTGCTTGTGCTGCTGACACGGCCGTGCCAGCTAAAGGTGGCTGCCCCAGCTGCCAACCACAGCCTGCAGAAATAACCGTCCCAGTCCCAGATCCCTAGCAGACCTATTTCTGTCAGGAGGATTGCTGTAGAAACTGGTTTGAGCTACCCTGTTTCGTTTTGACTGATGTGTGACACTTCTTTCCCTCGAGCTGCTTGATCTAGGAGGGGACAGGGACGAGGAGTGGGGTGTCCCCTGACCTGTCAGCGTTCACACCTCTGAACGACGCTGGTTCTGAAACCCATTAAATGCAGGTTTGTAGCTTGGTTTAGCACAGTCTGCCTGGCAGCCTAAACCCATATGATTTTATGCAGATACGTGACTGCACACAAATCAGTGCAATTGTAACTGAGTCACACCAGAATCGCTCTTCTAAATGGGCACGTGTTAATCTGCAGATAAAAAGGGCGTTAATAGGTGGATCAGCGTTGCAGCTTGTCTGATCTAGATGAAGACCAAAGCCCTGCAGGTTTCTTTTTGTTGCTCCAAGGTAAGGCTTAGGCAGGGGTCAGGATCCCCAGGCAGCTGTGGTGAAATTCAGTAGTGAAAACTATAATTTTGTAGCAGTGGAGGAAAGGGAGAGTAGCACCACTACAGCTCCTACAGGCACTGTCATCTGCTTGTGATAAATTTTTTATAGCAGACGGGTATTTCTTGCTTAAATATCGTTCACCAGTTGTTAGAGGCAGATACCCCTGGGAGCTGCTGCTTTGTGCTGTTCAAAGGCAGCGCCTTGGTACAAATCTCGTTACCCCTCCACATCCGACTGATGGATGGAGAGAAGAGGGTTG